TAAATTTGGTGTGGGTGGGATGATAAAACAAGGTCAGTGTATTAGTTTTCTAGGTCTGCCAAAGCAAAATGAGTGGCTTAAATTGAAATTTATTGTCTCTGCAGACAATAAGTTTTGGAGGCTAGAAACCAGCCTCAAGGTGTTGGCAAGAACCATGTTCCTTGAAGCCACCAGACTAGAGGAAGATCCTTCTTGCCTCTTCTGGTAGCCTCAGGTGTTCTTTGGCTTGTGGCAACAAAACTCTATACTTGCTCTGCCTTCCTCTTCACATGGCGTTCTCCCCCATGTGTCTCTGCACTTTCTTATAAGGGCCCGTCCTACTCTACAATGACCTCATCTTAACTGATCATATCTGCAATGACCTTATTGGAAACTTCAACATATCTGTGTGGGGGACACAATTTAACTCATTAATAGTTAGTATTAAATAATTATTGAATTATTGAAGCAAACTATGTTAGGTTAATCATAATTCTTTTATATATGTTTGAAAATTTTAAACATAGAGTTAAAAAAACTGCTCTTAAAGCATGTTAGAACAGATATGGGTCTGGTGATAATTCATTATATGTCACTCTGATTTGCCCATGATAATTAAAAATTGGTATATTGAAAAGTATTCTAAGAGGGTTAAAAAAATATTCTAAGAGGGATATATTGATATTCTCTGGAGAATACCTCAGTGAGAATGATGGTAATTTAATCATAGTTAAATATCTATATGTGAACGTTATCCTTAAGAAGACTGAAATTTGCTACTACTTGGAGTCTGTGCTATTTGATTTTTTTGGTAATGTTTGCGTATCCTTTTCTCTTTTTTAAAATCAATTTTGCAGAAGCAGAAATCTTGAATAAGAGCCTTGATGCAAAAGAATCGCCGTCTGAATTGAAGAGATAATTTACTTACGTTGCACACTTCAGTTGAAGCAAGTTGATTAAAAAATAGACTTATAGCCCTAGCTGATGTGGCTCAGTAGGTTGAGCATCCTCCCATGAAATGAGAAGTCACCGGTTCGATTCCTGGTCAGGGCACATGCCCCGGTTGCTGGCTTGTAGGAATTGTGCAGGAGGCAGCTGGTTGATGTTTCACACATTGGTGTTTCTCTCCCTCTCCTTTTCTCTCGCTAAAATAAATAAAAACAACACAAAAACAAACAAAAACACCCCAGACTTATAGGGGTGGGTGGAGGTGGAGGAGTTATAGGGGGGATAAATGGTGATGAAAAAAAAACAAAGCCAAAAAAATTTAAAAGCCCCCCAAAACTGATATTTTTCAAGGTCTAAAAAGTCTTAAATAATTCCCTTTAGCCTCTTCTAATGTTTTTAGGTAAGTGGAGTTGAAATGTGAAGTATTTGGAAAGCAAACATCAAGTTATGTGAAGCCATTTTGATTTCTTGAATAATCTTATAAGCATTAAGAAAATGGCAAAGTAGTAGTTAAATTTACTATAATTTCAGTTAACTAACATAAGGATGAGTAGTTTTTGATATTACATGGTTAAGATAATAGCCATTGAATACATTGATCTTTCATTTTAGGGAAATATAGAACTTTTATTATTTCTTAATGAAACATTCTGGTACTAACAAAAAATAAAAGAGAAAAATAGTGCTTTGAGCTGTGTAGTCAAAAGGACAAAGTTTGGAAAGCTCTAAATAGGTTTCATGATTGATTATTCAAGTAGGTTGATGCTGAAAAATGATATTTTATGGAATAAAGTGCATGTGGTATGTGAAGACTGGAGCAGAATGAATTTAGTAAAAAAGGAAAAAGATGGAAGAAGATGACACTTTTAAGGAATCCTATCAAACTGAATCCATTCATTGGGTTGTATAGCAGATTTATATTTAGTCTAATTTAGACTATGAAAATTTAACTTAACCCTACTTTTATATTTTAACAGAAAAAAATGCAAATTAAAAAATGTCTGTGTGTTTTCTTTTATTGGGGAGGGGGGACGGTGAGGGCACTGTTTTGTGGGAAAGGAGCTAATTTTGATTATATTGCTTTCTTCCTCAGTTCCCCAAAGCCTACAGAACAGTCTCAAAATAACTTGAGAAAACTGAATTTGGGGTTAAATAACTTGCTCAGTGTCACACAGCTAAGTCAGTGGTAAAGCTAGGATTTGACCCTATTTTCTTTCCTTAATAAACCACAAGTAACTAAAGGCCAGGACAGTAGGATATGGCTCAGAAATGGGAGTCAGATGTAAGGCCTCTTGTACAAAACCCTGCCCCACTCAGTCATGGTCTCTGGCCAAGAAAAGGGCTTGTCTCTAGAATCAAGTGAGTACATCCCATAGCTCTCCATGGATCAGGAGGAATGAATACACACTGGAAGGCATAGCACCAACAGTACCCCTCTATCTTGTCCCAACTCTTAACCATTAAAATCATGTCCACTTGCCAAGAAACTGACAGGGAGAGGAGAAAAGGGGAAGGGAGAGTTCTGGAAGTAGGTGGGCTTAATTATCTTTCACTCATTTTGGGCTTCTCTAAGTTGTTTGTTCAATCCCAGTTTGAGGCCAGTGAGAAAGACAGAAAAAAGCACATATTTTCAGTGGAAAAAAAAAAAAGCTCCTAAGGTGCTATATTCCTTTATTAGTTAATACAACAAATAAGGGACTTTATAGGTATACTGGGAAACTAAGTTCTCTATCTTAAGAAAACTCAGTATCTGTAAATCCAAAATTTAATGTTAGGAAGGATAGGGCATCATCTAAGTACCAGAGCCATTACTAGTCAATATATATGATTTCATCTAATTCTTATACTGTTAAGATAGTGATTATTATACCTGTTTTGCAGATGGGCTGAAGCCAGGGAGCTTACATGACTTGTCTTAACCTCTAGAGTGCCGGGGAGCGTGATCGCGCTCCTGTCTTTCCCCAAAAGTGCCGCTCCTCTTGCAGTGTCACTATTAGATGCTAGTAGTTCACTCTTTGTTGACAGATGGCACCTAAGTGCAGATTACTTATGATGCCGAATGTTTGTAGTTCTAAAATTAACCACTGGCATTTATCTGCCTTATTTTCATAATTTTTTCCCTAAACTGCTGTAAAATCAGCAAAAATGCCTTGGCAATTTTGGCATAGTTCCTAGGATATTGGTTGGCACTCAAAGGGTTAAATGGACTCAGGGAATCATCTGCAATACATAGATTCTATAGGTCTAAAATGGGGATTAGGAATCTGCATTTTAAATATGCTTCCTTGGTAATTATCAGACTAAAAAGCTTAAGAGCTAACCCTAGCCAAGTTAGCTCAGTTGGTTAGAGCATCATCCTGATATGCTAAAGTTGAGGGCTCAATCCCCAGTCTAACCAACAGAGCCACCCCACCAGGGCAAAGTCAATTTTATCTAAAGGAAAAACAGGAATTCTTGAGACCTGTATAAAAGGAAACCCTATTTTTTCCTACTCTGAATAAACTAAAATATGTTTAAGGACATTTTCCTCAATGCAAGGAAAGTGTATGCTAAAGTAAAATTCTCTTTTACATGTTACATATGCATAGTTCTCCCTAGTGAATGCCAAGTCTACATCCTAAATTTAAAATATTTGTGGGTCCCCTATGAGACTTTGTAAATATGTTCTACATGCTCTAGTTCACTTGGCTATGAAACTTGCTAGATATAAAAAAGAACCATGCCCTTCAAACCACAAAATGATCACATATAGTTAACCAGTAACTTGATCAACAAAAATTTGTGAGATTCAGATACAAGCATTTTGTTACTGCCATTTTAATTTTTAGAGTCACTAATGTGGTACTTTAAAAAGTACATTTATACCTTCAGAGTTTTTTTCATCTGGAGCCTTTATAGTAACTTATTGCCAAAGGCTCCAAGTAGATGAGTGTAATTACTTGCATCTGGTTAGCTTCTTGCTCTTCACAGGTAGGGGACCTTGTCATTCACATACAGCTGTAAAGTTGTATTGCTTATATTTAATCTGTATACAGAGCTAATTCTCATTTGTAAAAAGAGAGGTGAGAGGAGTTGATCAGAGGTTTCTTGGCTCTAAAATATGTAGATTGCTTTAATCTTTAAGGTAGCTGGAAAGGGACATTTTAGATCTGTTTTCTGATTTCACCACACCCCATTGCCAGTCCAAATTAGGAATCTTATCCGTCCCTCAAAGTAGTTAATCTAAGAATCTGATTCAGTATTATCCAATTTCCAGACAAATGCAGATGGGAAAGTGATCTTGCCCAAAAGTGACCTAACCACTATTGAAATTATTTAACTTACTGGACTTCAGTTTCCTCCATCTATAAAGGGAATTATATGAAGTAATGTACACTTCAAAAGCTAGGATTTTTATGATTAACCACTTATCAGTGGGATAGTAGTGGGATGTAATAGGAAAGGGGGAGGATCTGTAATCTTATTGCCTAGGTTCAGCTCTATTAGGCCATACCAGTTTTCTCATTTATTAAAGTAGAGATAAAAGTAATTTACTTCATAGGTTGTGAGGAGTAATAAGAAAATGCACATCAAGTGTTTAAGAATACCTGGCATTTAGTAAGGGTTCAATATGTTGCTAGGCTTCATGTCCAGTAATTTTGGAGTATGTGTGTGGGGTTGGGGCAAAAAGAATGGCTTAGTAGGTGGTATTGCTAGCTGACACAGTACTGAGTATGTGCCAAGCACCATTCTAAATGCATTCTAGGTTTTAATTTAATCCTTTTAACAATCCTATTTTGTAGTGCTATTCTTACCCACATTTTATAAATGAGAAAACCCAACAGCAAAATTAAATACCTTGCCCAGTTTACAGAGCTAGTAAGTGAAGGCACTAGAAAGAATACTAACTCAGCTCAGGTGGTCTAGCTCCAGATTCAATGTTCAATCACTGTTACAGTTGCTATGAAACATCCCTCAGGTGATGGGGAGCTAAGATCACAAAATCAAATTTACCAGTAAAGCAATGCTTGTGGGCAGGCAGAAGCTTTAGATTTACATATTAACCCCTTCAAATTATTTCAAATAAGACCATATTTTAAATTGCTAACAGCAAATGTTTATTTATGACTGAAGCCAAGAAGAATTTATAAATGCATTTTAATATCTTGCTGATAAAATAGTAACATTCCACCTTTGCAATCTTGCAAGGAATACAGGAAGATATTGTAAAGGCTTTGATGTGTATATCTATTACAACCAGGTAATCGGAACACACACACACACACCAACACCACACACACCACCTACTTTAGTGTTACACCATACCAACTTTTCAGAAAGGCCATCTTAAAGCTCTACTGGATAGCTGAGGAAAGAGCGTCCGAGATTTAAAGAATGGGGAGCAGGGAAGAGATGGAAGTAGTAAGCAGCACACAATTCAAAGCCCACTTTGAAGCACACGACATTATGAATACTAAAAGGATGCGGGGGAGGGAGGGAGGGAGGGAAGGCAATTCAGCATCTTCAGAGAGAGCATTTGCCAACATTCAACGCATGAGGAGGCTGTGCTTGGGCCCATCCACTCTCTCCAGCTTCTCAAAGTGTTTCCTGGCATTGCGAATGTTGATCAGCGTGGCTGCAGACGGGATCGACGGATCCGACATCACCACCATCACGTACGTGTTTGAGGTGAAGATGTCGATGAAAGCGGCGAAGTTGGAATTTCTAACTTCCATGCTCTGGAAAGAAGCGGCCAATTTACTGCAGCTCAGCTTGAACTGCTTAATGATGTTGCTGATCTTCTCAAACCGGTGCACGTCGCGCTGCTCTTTGCACTGGTAATGGGAAATGACCAGGAACGTCGCTCTCTCGAACAGCAGAACTTCGTCGGCCTCGATAATTTGGGCAAAATTCCTCAGGTTCATCTCCAGCTGCTGGACGTTGGGAATCAGCTGATAGACAATGCTGGACCAGGCTTTGTAGAGCGTCTCGTCCCAGATGGAGGTTCGGAAACAAGCGCACTCCAGGGGGCGAGACAAGCGCCTGAGGTCTTCCTCTCGCTCCTTGAAAATCAGGTCACGCTGATCCTCCTGAACCAGATCCATTTTGTGCACCAGGCAGAAGATTTTGGCATCAGGGGAGTTCTGGAGGATGGCCTCCAGACACGACTGGTAGTAATGCATGTCCTTCTCCAGTTCGCGGCTCTCCACGTCGAACACGTAAATCAGCACCTCGACGTTACGGAAGATGTTGTCTCGCTGGCTGGTGAAGTAGTTTTCCATGAAGGTGTCCTGCCCGCCACAGTCCCACAGGTTCAGCACCAGGTTGCCCAGAAACCGGACGTGGGAGTGCTCCACATCGATGGTGGCACCCAGGCGCCGGGTGTCGCGAGCAATGTAATTTGCAAAGATAATCGACCTCATGCTGGTCTTTCCCGACCCGCTCTTCCCCATCAACAGCACCTTTTTCTTCATGGCTGTATTGGGCATCACCCGCCGGGAGCCGCCGCGGACTGGGCCTCAGGGCGCGGCCTAACTGCAGCGCGGAGGGAGGGAGCGGCCGGGCGTCGCGGGGGCTCCGCAGGCTGGGCCGCGCGGCTGGGCAGGCGGGGAGGCCGGGAGAGCGAGCTGGGGGCGGCGAGGCCCGGCGGGGTGAGCTCTGCGCGGGAGAGAGGAGCAAACGGCTGCAACAGCTCCGGCGACCGCTCGCCTTCCGGTGAGGAAAGCCGCTGCGTCTCCGCGGCCGCCCACTTCCGGCGGCGATCTCGCGAGAACTGCCGCGCTCGGCCGTCCGGGCCTCAGGAGCTTTGATCAACTGCTCTTTTAATGAAACCGAGCAGAGGCCCCGGAGCGAGAAAATGGAAGGGGAGCCCGGGATTCTAGTGTTCGGTTCCTCTATTTCAGCTGGGTTTAGGGTGTGCAAAGGTGTGCGCGTGCGGTCCTTTGGGAGAGTGCTGCCACCTCGCGGCCAGCCCACCCTGAGCCGTGACGCGGGGCTGGAAGAGGGCGGTATTCTGGGTGGTTTAGGCCGGGGAGCGAGGCCGGTGACGCCGCGGGGGGCGGAGCTCTCGGCCCGGTCAGGCCTCCCCGGAGTCCCCGGTTTACTGAGGACCGGGGCGGGGCTAGCGACCACTGCACCGAAGAGGAAAGTGAGCCTTCGAGAAGTTCAGTGACGGCCCAGGGCTCCCCCGCCGCACCGGGCGACATCCCGACTCCCCCTTAGTGCCTTTTCCACTCGGAAGTTCCTTCCTCACACCTGTCTGTCGGGTCAGCTCAGACTTTAGCATTTACCGTCAGCCTCCCAGAGCTCGAGGAACTAATATGGAACCTGTGCATTAGCCCAAGCCTCACAATGACCCTGTGAATAAATAACCCGATTTCCAGTGAGTAAATCCAAGCTTGGAGGGGGGTTAAGTAACATTGGCAAGTTATACACCTATTAAGTGGTGAAATGCAATTTTACTTAACAAATATATCTTTAAGGTGCACAACATGATTTGATAATATACAGCGAAATGATTACGACAGTCAAGCTAATGAACATACCTTTGTGGTGAGAGTATCTGAAATCCACTCGTAGAAAATTTACAGTATGCAATACAGTATTAACCACAGTCATCATGCTTTCGGTTAGCTCTCCATCCTACATCGTGCAACCCCCATTCTCCCCACCTCCCTTCCCCCGTTAACCAGTCTACTCTCTGCTACTATATATATAAGATTCTGCCTTAAGTGAGGCCATGCAAGCTTCTTTTTCTTGCTGTGTCTGGTTTATTTCACTGAGCATAATGGCCTCCAGTTTCATCCATATTGTTGCAAATGGCAGGATCTCCTTTATTTATTTAATTTTTTTTTATTGATTAATTGATTAAGGTATTACATGTGTGTCCTTATCCCCCCACTGACCCCCCACCCCCCTGGTGTCTGTGTCCATTGGTTAGGCTTATGTGCATGCATACAAGTCCTTCGGTTGATCTCTCCTCCTTACCCCCACCCTCCCCTACCTTCCCTTAAAGGCTGAATAATATTAATATTACATTTATTCATATAAAGCGTCATTTCTCTTTTAATGTAAAAAGCTTACTTTCTGTTTAAAAGTTAATACACTTGTAGTCTAAGTCACCTAGAATATTCTTTAACACCATATTCTAAAAATAGATCAGATATTAACAGATTTTAGCTAAAATATATCAATAGCAGAATTCCTGCTGTCCCATGGATAGGTTGAACATTTTTTATTTTTAGCATTTGAGCTATTTAAATTCTCTAGTATTTATGTTGGATTATAGTGATGTTTCCCCCCAGTTTTATTGAGATACAGTTGACATTTAACATTGCATTTATTTTAGGTGTACAACATAATGATTTTATATATAGCCAAATAACTACTACAATAAGTTTAGTTAACACCCCTGACCTCAACATATTTAAAATTTTTCTTATGATGAGAATTTTTTAGGTCTACTCTTAGCAAATTTCAAATGTACAATGCAGTATTGTTAACTATAACCACCAAGTAGTACATTACATTCTTAGAACTTATCTTTAAGTGGAAGTTCATACCTTTTCTTTTAATATTATTATTATTTTTTAATTCTCACCCAAGTATATTTTTCCATTGATTTTTAGAGAGAGTGGGAGAGAGAGGGAAAGACAGAGAGAAACACTGATATGAGAGAAACACATGGATTGGTTGCCTCCTGCACATGGCCTGGCAGGGCCCAGGCTGTGGAGGAGCCTGCAACCGAGGTACGTGCCCTTGACCGGAATTGAATTCAAGACCCTTTGGTCTGCAGGCCGACACTACCCACTGAGTCAAACTGGCCAGGGTGGAAGTTTGTACCTTTTGACCATCTCCACTCATTTTACTCACTCCCCAACCTCTACCTCTGGCAATCACCAATCTTTTTTCTGTGCTAATGAGTTTTTTATTTTATTTCTTAGGTTCCACTATTAGTGAGATCATACAGTATTTGTCTTTCTCTGTCTGACTTATTTCCTTAGCATAATGCCTTCTAGATTCGTCCCTATTGTTACTAATGGCAGGATTTCTTTCCTTTTTATGACTGAAAAATTATCTGGCACATTTTCTTCTCCATTCATCTATGAACATTTGCATTGTTTCCATATCTTGACTGTCTCTCTATATAAAAGCCTAATATGCAAAGTGTCTCCTCGGGAGTTCAACCAGCCAGGAGTTCGATCGCTCGCTATGACGTGCACTGACCACCAGGGGGAGGCGCAGAATGAAGAAAGGCCCTGGCAGCCAGGGAAGGGAGGCCCCGGCCAGCAGTCAGCAGCTGCTAGGGACCCTACCCATGCACGAATTTTGTGCACTGGGCCTCTAGTTATAAATAATCCTGCAGTGATGCAGTGATTATGGGGGGGCGGGGAGGGTGTTACACATATCTTTTTAAGATAGTGATTTTGTTTTCTTTGAATATATGCCCAGAAGTGGGATTGCTGAGTCATATGGTAGTTCTATTTTGAATTTTTTAAAAAAGTTGTTTTTATTGTCGAAAGTATTTCAGATGTCCTGTTTTATTCCCCATTGACTCTCTTCACCCCACACTAGACCCTTCACCCCCAGACCTTCACTGCACTATATTTTTAATTTTTTAAGGAAACACCATATTGTTTGTCACAGAGGCTGCACCAGTTTACATTCCTACCAACAGTGCACAAGGATTAGCTTTTATCCACATCCTCACCAACATGTTTTCTCTTGTCTTTTTGATGATAGGCATTCTAACAGGTGATATATCATTGTAGTTTTTTTTTCTATAAATATGGAACGCTTCACGAATTTGCATGTCATCCTTCTGCAGGAGCCATGCTAATCTTCTCTGTGTCATTCTAATTTTAGTATATGTGTTGCTGAAGTGAGCACTATCATTGTAGTTTTGATTTGCCTTTCCCTGATAGTGATGTTGAACATCTTTTCATGTATCTGTTGGCCATTTGTGTGTCTCCATTGTAAAAATGTCTATTCAGTTTCTCTGCCCATATTTTAATCTGATTTTTTCTAGTGAGTTATGTATTTTGGATATTAGTCCTTATCACATAAATGACTTGCAAACATTTTCCCCCATTCAGTAGGTTGCTTTTTCATTTTGTTGATGGTTTCCTTTGCTGTGAGAAGCTTTTTAGGTTGATGTAGTCCCACTTGTTTATTTTTCATTTTGTACTTTTAGTGTCATATCCAGAAAACATTTCCCAATATTGAGGAGCTTTATTTCTTATGCTTTCTTCCAGAAGTTTTATGGTTTTAGGTCTTATGTTCAAGTCTTTAATTCTTCTTGAGTTGATTTTGTGTATAGTGTAATGCAGAGGTTCAATTTCATTCTTTTGCATGTGGCTGTCCAGTTTTCTCAACATTATTTATTAAAGAGACTACTCTTTCTCCATTGTGTATTCTTGGCCTCTGTTGAAAATTAGTTGATCATATACACTTGGTTTTATTTTTGGACTGTCTATACTGTCCCATATGTCTGTTTTTATGCCAGTACCATACTTTTTTGATTACTATAGCTTTGCAGTATAATTTGAGATAAGAAACTATGATGCCTTCGACTCTGTTCTTAAGATTGCTTTGGCTATTCAGGGACTTTTGAGGTCCCATACAGATTTTAGAGTTTTTTTTTTCTATTTCTGTGAAAAATGTCATTAGCATTATGATAGGGATTGCATTTAATTGGTAAATGGTTTTGGGTAATATGGACATTTAGACAATATTAATTCTTCTAATCCGTGAACATAGGATATCTTTCCATTCATTTGTTTTGTCTTCAGTTTCTTTCATCATTAATTTATAGCTTTCAGTGTACAGATCTTTCACCTCCTTGCTTAAATTTATTCCTAAGTATTTTATTCTTTTTTATAAGATCGTGAATGGGATTGTGTTCTTGAGTTCCTTTTCAGATAGATTGTTGTTGGCACATAGAAGCACACTGATTTTTGTAGGTTGATTTTTTGTATCCTGAAATATTACTGATTTTGTTTTTTAATTCTAACAGTATTATTTTAGGGGGATGGCTTAAAGTTTTCTACATATAGGAGCATGTAATCTGTAAACAGTGATAATTTTACTTTTCCTTTCTAATTAGGATGCTTTTTATTCTTTTTGTCTCATTGCTTTTGCTAGTACTTCCAGTACTATGTTGAATAGGAGTGACAAGAATGGGCAACCTTCATTCTACTGGATCTTAGAGCAAAAGCTTTCAGTTTTTACCCATTGATGTTAGCTGTGGTTTTTCATAAATGGCTTATATTGTTTTGAGGAAATTTTCTTTTATACCTATTTTGCTGAGAGTTTTATCATGAGTGGATATTAACTTTGTCAAATGTTTTTTTCTGTATCTATTGAGATGATCCTGTGGTTTTTATTTTTCAGTCTGTTAATGTGGTAAATCACATTGATTTGAATACATTAAAACAACATTGCACTCTAGGGATAAATTGCAGTTGGTCGTGGTGTATAATCTTTTTGGTGTGTTGTTAAGTTTGGTTTGTTACTATTTTATTATGGACTTTTGTATCTGTTACTTTCCTTTTTTCTTTTCTTTTTGTGGTACCTATCTGGCTTTGCTATCAAGGTGATGCTGGCCTCATAAAATCAGTTTGAAACAATCCTTCAAACAATCTTTATGCCACTGATGTTGCCAATTCATAAATATTCTGGAGGTTCTGTAGCAAAAATAATGCTTCTTTCTGGCTTTCCTACTGCT